CTACATGATTTTAGGTAGAATTGTGTTCGAAATTTCATGATTTAGGATAGATTATGTAAAAATTATATTTAGTATCAAAATCTTAATTTTTTCTTAGAATATTTAATGATCAAGTGTATTTAAATAAGAATTGAAAAGTTTAAGTTAAAATTTAATAACATGTTGATTGAAAGAAAATGTTTTAAGCAAATGAATAAGGTTATTTTTTTTAATGCATATTGAGGATTAAAAGTTGAGGTTGCCTATTGAAGTATAAACGTTGAGGTTTAAAGGTTGAGGTTTGATCGTTAAATGATGAGGTTAATGTTTTTATGCATGTTTTTATTGAGGCTAGACCCTACTAATCGGTGTTAGTATCTTTTAGTTGCACAAATGAGGAAAACAATTTTAAAGACATTCAATGTATAGAAAGTTTTAATGTAAAATCATGCATATTATACTTATTAAGATATTCTTATCTCATGTTCGTTCTATGGTGTAGGTAATGATGCAAATGTTGAGAATGTTGATGCTACTTCGGTGACCGAGTGATTCATGTGCCTACCTTTACGTATTCCTAATGATTTGGTTATGCTTTAAATGAATATTTATTTTTAAAATAATAAATGTAATGATATTAAATTTATGAATTTTGGAAATTTTTACTTAAAATTTGAGTATGAATATTGAGACAAGATTATTTAGGAATGTTAATTATGGTGAGAGAGATTTTATAAATGACAAATGTTAATGAGAAACTCTTATGGTTATATATTAGTAATGACATATTTAAAGATAAATAAGATTAAATTAGGAAATTAATTTTAAGGAAATTAAAAGGATATAAGTTTTAGTATCGACTTGTTCGATCCCGACCTTTCGAGTGAGATTTCGTAGTTGACGGGCATTACAAAGGCAAGTAACTAATAAGAATGTCCCCTATATAAAAATTAAGGTGAATATAAAAGAAAATAAATATCTACTAATACGGTTTCTAACTAGTTTGGTGCTACCATGTTGTATTGTGTGTTTAGTGCTACATTATAGAATAAAAGCATTTTTTAGTAACCAGTTATTATACTTTGTTTATAAATATTTAAGGTGGCAAAATAGTATTTGGTTAAATTTAATTATTGTGCTTTTCAAGATATGGAATGACCAATAAAGACTATAACAAAATAAAAATATTTTAAGAAATTTATTTTATTTATAGTGAATTATTTATAACTTTTTAACCATACATGACACGTGTGCATATTTTTGTAAAAGTAATTCTTAAGTTTGAAAAACTATATAGCAAAAAAAAGTTAAATAATACGGCAATATATATAAACACGATACTTTAATAAGATAATATATATATATAATTAATTAAAATATAATTACATAAAGAATAATATTTTAAAAAATGTGTATTAAAAAATTAACAGAGAAAATAGTGATTTTAATTTTAAAAATGGATTCTATAATAAACAAGTGTGTTTTTGGCTGAAAGGGATTAATCAAATAGTACTTTCAGATCAAAAGCAGTACTTAAAAGCAACTATGCTTTAAACAATACCAAAAAGAACTTTATGTTTATAAGTATCAAAGTTATGCTATACTGATACGTGGTTGAAAAAAAAAAAAAACAAGCAGAACAAACTTTTGGTATGTAAGGACATGATTGTAAAGCTCTTTAAAACAAGGACTAAGATGCTTTTCCCAAGAAATATGAGGACCAAGAAAAATATCTTTCAAAAAATTACAGGAACTAAATATTGAAATTGATATTATATTGTCTTGTATGGGACGTATGTTTTAAGTATGAGTTAGATGATAATTTTTAAATATAAAATTGATATAACATGATAGAGATATCCTCTTATTATCATTTTTACACTTCTTCCATTATCAATATAAAATTCATACGTGTATATGTATACATTCACCAAACAATCCTCCAAGGCAAATAGAGTTCTTAATCTCTTAACAATAGCATACCTTGAACTTAATCCTTAATTTTTTTTTTAAAAAAAATCTTTTGGTTTTTTAACCATTTTTTTTTTTGTCTACAATTTCACCCTTCCATCCAAGATTGAGTAAATTATAAATTAGTCTCTCTTGTTTTAAAAAATGAATTAATTAGTCTATTTTTTTTTTAAAAAAACTAATTATGTAGTCCTATATGCTTTAATTCCATCAATAATTTTTTTTTTGTTATTTTTCTGTTAAATCAGTGGTTTTTTTTCCCCCTAAATTGCTCTTTTTTTATGCTTTGTTTTTTTTTTTTCCCTTCCTTTCATCTACTTTCTTTCTCTCTCCTCATTCTTTATATATAGTAACCTATCTCTTAATTTTTTCAATAAGTTTGTCTGTCTTCAATCATTATAGTAATATTTCTCTCTTAAACTATTGCGGTGACCTCTTTTTTAATTTTTTAAATAGTTGATGGTTAAAGAGAGAAAAAAGAGTAGATGAAGGAGACACAAAAGGAATTAAATGAATTACAATTGAAGAGCAAAAAATATTGCAGTGGATACCTCATTATTATTCTAATAAAAAAATAAAAAAAATAATTAAGTTTTTGAGGAAATTAAAACATACAAGACTGAATAATTAGTTTTTACAACGAAGTGGACTATTTAATTTATTTATAAAAATGAAAGGGACTAATTTATAATTTGATGTCTAAGATTCTATTCAAATATTAAGTTTGACCACAAATAGTACAGCCAAAACATGACAAGTTCTGAACCCACACTAGACACGTGGCGATCTACGTGGAAATAAATTTTTTTTTGTTTAAAAAAAATCATATAAAAGTAGGCCTTTTCTCAACCTTAACCCATCTATCCTAAATTAACACCACCATCTGTTATCATTCCAAATCGGTTCCCATCTTTCCCAAATTCAACTTTGTCATCTCATTTTGCTTCTCCATCGTCAGTAATCTGTTAACAATAAATTGAATGGCTCAAATTCAAATCAAAGACAATAAATAACGGTAATGAACAATTCAACATTAACAAGAAAAAAATCAAAGATAATAAAGGGAAAGAAAAAATCTCGCAAAATATATCTTCTTTGCAACCGAATTTGGAAAATAAAAACCATCCGATTGCATATGCCTATCTAGGCTGCAAAGTAGATTCATTTTCTCTCTGTTAGTATTTTTATTGAGTAACTTTCATCTTATTTTTGTTTCAATTAGCTAGCCCCCACATTGTTCTTTTATTCTAATTTTCCCCTCCATCCTTTTTTGTCATGTGCATAAATTTCAATTTCATCCTTGAAGTTTATAAAATATCTCAATATCATCTAAAAAGAAAAAAAAAAAAAATATATATATATATAAAACTTGAGAGGATTAGTTTCTCAAGAAATCCTTTAATCCTACCAACTTCAATTCTCATTTAAGGAGCATTTATTTTACATAAAATATTTTACATGGAAAATGTATTTTGTTTATGGTGTATCCTAAGTAATAATTTAAAAAATATGGCGGTGGTAGAATGATGATGATGTCCTACGGTGGTGGTGGTGGAGGCGATATTGGTGGGGTGGTGAATATAGTGGCAGCGGTAATAGAGTGTCGGTGATGATCGTGGCGAAGATGATGATGACAAGGTTATGGTTGTGATAACGAGTGGTTGAAATAGTTAGATGATATTGTGAATGAATTATTATTCCTAAAATATTTTACAAAACTTCATGAGCTAGAAATATTTTTCACCAAATTAACTAAGTTTAAAAATTTCACCTTAAAATATTTTATATTGACTAGTTTTCATGTAAAATATTTTATGACAAAAGCACAAAAAAAAAAAAAAAAAAAAAGGGTAACATTTTCTTGTAAAATAATTTATGTTGAAGAAGCGCTTCCTTAGCGACATCATTTTTTTCTTTGTATATAATTTAGTTAAATAAAAATCAGGATTCAGATTCATTTAACTTTTTTTAAAAATGTTTTCATCAAAATTTTCACCATTTGAGACAGTCTCAGCTATCATGTCTCCTTCTTTCTTTTATTTTATTATCAAATAGCACATTTTATATGTGTAAATAATCATGCTTTTGGTGATGTCAAAATTGTCCTATACTTGAGCTATCATTCTATTTTAAAAAGAAATTCTTTTTCAAGATTTTAATGAAAAATTGGATGAAAAGTGTAAATATAATATGTTAGTGAGAGAGCATATGAAAGACACCAACAATGTTAGTTTATATGTTTTATTAAAATATATATATATATATATATATAATTTTTATGTCTAGTTTAATTTTATTCTTGTATTTTCAAATGTCTACTAGATAGTGTTGATGAAAAAAAATATTATACTAAATTTTAGTTAAAAGAAAAAAAATTTCTTTAATGATTTTTTCAATTTTAATTTTTTTATTCTTACATTTTGGGTTATATTGAGATATTTCATAAACTTTGGTGATGAAATTAAATTTATACAAAGTGGAATAAAAATAACATATACATGATCCAATTGAAACAAACGAACAATTTAGATAAAATTGAGAAAACACATAAAACGTGGGAGTAAATTGAAATATATCCATTTTTAGTTGTGGTTACTCAAATTCCATAAAATCAATTTCTTCTTATTAGCATGATTGTAGCCAAAGTTTTCGGCAACAACACCACTATATTTAGCACCAACCTTGAAATTCAAAGCCAACAAATCCGTGGCTCAACTATATCAGTATCTGCTTCTCTTAAGAATTTAATCTCTATTTTGTAACTACAAATACCATAAAATTCAGAAAGAACAACGAATCACCATGTCAAAATCAAACATGGTAGACCTTTCAAAAGCGAAGCCTCCCCCTTCCATCTTTCTTATTTTCTTTCCCTAGTGTATTTGGGAATTGTAGAAACGGAGGGAGACGGGAAGGCATTGGAATTCCAGTATCTCCTTCACGTTACTTAAGGAACAGGATTACAGTAAACAAACAGCAAAGTTGCTTGTGTTCCTGTTATGGAGTCACTGTTGAATCACATTCAAAATTTCCAAGAACCCTTGATCAACATGGACATCTTTGAAAAAATCAGGCAATTAGATTTATTATGCGAGATTGCATCTAATGCTGCTGGCATGGATAAAGATGCATTCATCGCAATTGCAATAGTGAAAGGGATCTGTCGAGAAGCTAGAGATCGCAACAGAGAAGATGGGATTGCCAGAGCTGAGAGAGAGTCAATGGAGGTTAAGGCAAAGCAAATCCCGGCGACCAAGTCATCTATTGATGCTTTGGGACGAGAAGTTTTCAACGATTCGGGTTCAGCAACAGACTGCATTGTTTGTATGGAAGAGATTGAGGCAGGGGATGTAGCAATTCGGATGCCGTGCTCGCATGTTTATCACTCAGACTGCATCGTTAAGTGGTTGCAGATTTGCCACATGTGTCCACTTTGCCGCTATCATATGCCCTGTGAGTTCGGATGAGTACTATAGCTTTTCTTTATCTGCTTTGTTCTTAGGTTATTTGGTCGAATAAAAAGGACTGAACTGTGATTAGTTCTGTGATTTTATGACTTGTTTCCTTTCATTCATCAATCATTGTAAAACTTTCAGGGTTTGGCTTATGCCAATATTTCTTCTTCTTTTTTTTTTTTATTCCTTTTTATGTATGATCACTAGAAAACTATATGTAATTTATCAATTATCTTCTCAAGTAGTTTCAGGGGAACTTATAATTCAATAAAGAAAAACTGTCAGATCATGATGAAATTGCAATAACACAGCAAATCAGACTAATAAGAAATCACTATATATATATATAAAGTAAAAAATAAAGAGACGTTATATTAAGCTTCCAAAGCTTTTGTATTATCTTGTTATCTAACTAATAAAATTTTCCTTTCGCCCATAAAATAGATAATTTATCGAACCACGTAAATATTGTATATTGATAATTTATTTAGTTTTATCTTTTAATTATTGTTTGTTATTACTTCTCTTGTTTTCGTTGTTTATCATAACAGTTCAAGCTCTCCTCTTCAATGGGTCGATATTGATCAGTTCTGACTTCAGCAATTTCGCTCCTCTGATTACTTATCTATTGGTTTCAGCCATGTTGACAGAGAAACTTGTTTCTAGCTAGAATCCAGCTGGCACTTAATTTTTTTTTTGGATAAGAATTGATAAATTTAGATTAAAATCCTGTAAGAAAGAGGCAGAAAAAAATACAGCTGGTACTTAATTTGTTCATGCATTTGTCACACAGTTACTTTGTATTTGGTCCATGTATAAGGTGAGTGTCTTAACTTACTTTCCTATTCACAATAAAACCAAACGATTTCTGATTGCCAGCATCGTTATTTATCCGTTTTGAATTAGGAAATCAGTTGTCTTTTCTACGTAGGACAACATTAACCGACCCTTCAGTATATATAAGCAACCACACTGTGAATCATATCCTCTTATTTTGTAATAGGAGGCCGCAGGACGCTCTCCATCTTTGTTTCTTTTTTCTCACAAACGCTACCATCCTTTCTTTTCCGCTCTTAACTGCTCATATGGCTTCTGGGATCGAATATGGTTATTGTGTAAACTTAAAGCCACAAGAAAATCATCAAGAATCGCAACATATCAATGGCCAACCCCTGAACCAGGCAGCTTCGATGTTACGTGTAATTTTCTCGCTATATAAGTTCCAAATCTTTGGTAACTTAACGGATGGGTCGATGGTCAGAACAAGACCTGTGGAAATAAACAGCGAAGAGACTTGCATCCCTATCACCAGTTCATTGGTTGATGATCATGAACAAGAATTTAAAGAGATCTTGACAGTGATGGGAATCCCTGTAAGCAAGCAATCGGACATCTTAAAAGAGATGGCATCGGTTGCTCGTAGCAAGGATACTTTTAGTGGTGTCTTCATGGGTGTTGAATTATTGGAGGGGACCTTCCAGGAAATTACTGAAGCTGATATTGCTAGAGCTGAGATGGAGTCAATGGATATTCAGGCTGGACCAGTCCCGGCAGCCAAGTCCTGTATTGATGCATTGGAAAGGGTGGATTTTGACGGTTCGGCGTCAGCGAGAGACTGTACTGTTTGCATGGAAGAAATTGATGCAGGGAGAGAAGCAATTCGGATGCCGTGCTCGCATGTTTATCATTCAGATTGCATTGTTCGGTGGTTGCAGACTAGTCGCTTGTGTCCTCTTTGCCGCTATCGTATGCCCTGTGAATATTTGCGATCTTGATCAGCAGCACCAACTGGTTTTTCTTTATCCGGTTGTGCAAAGGATTGGATTTTTATGTAGACCACAGTTTGAGACAGTTTAATCAGTAATAAAGCTTTGATTTTATCTTTTCTTTTTTTCTTTTTGTTAATTATAGCTGTAATTAAATATTTCAAAGGTTGATTTATGGTTGCATGGATTTATGGCTACTTTAGGCCATTGTTCATCCTTTAAAAGCAATCCTTTAAAAGTCGGCATGACAACAAGGGTATGGACAAGTAGAAGTGGAAATGGACTCTGCTGTTTTGGCCGATGCTGTGAAGAGTTCTTTCTCCTGTGTCCTTGGTTCGAGATCCTCTTTTTCATGAACTTTGTCTTCTTCTCCACTATGATTGGGTGATTCGTGTTTCTCTTAGCATTGGAGTGAATTATTTTGAAGTAGCTCCTGTAGGCATTGAGCTCTTGTTTCAGGATATTGTTGGGGCGGTTATTTCTGTTATTTCTCGACTTTGTTGAGTGTAATCTTTTCTTTTTATCATATCTAACAGAAATTATTAGATATGTTAGAAGTTGTAGTTCAATCGAACAAAAACATGACCCGTTATAAAAATAATTCATGAGTCCTATATTTTCATGTTTTTGCAAAAGAGAGATACATTTCTGCTAAATAATTCCTTTGTAGTAATTATATTGATGACTGACGATTATAGTTTATTTATTTATTTAAATTTGTTTTTTTGTTGAAAGAGGGGCTTTAAGCCCAAAAAAACAATAAAACACAACACCGACGGGGCATAGCCACCCCAATAATGTCCTGATACAAAAGATTAGAAATTCATGCATGATGATAATCAAGAAAATGCACTCCAATGGGAGAGTGAAAGTCTTGATTTGCTGGTAAATCTGCGCACCGATTACCTTCACCGATAAATGGGAGAATCTGAACCTCCAATCACGATTGAAGAGTTAAGAGGAGTTCTTGAAATAAATAACTGTAGATCCAATGTCGGTAAAGTTATATTATAATTGTAGTTAAGTTGATTGAATTGCCTTTTAAAGATAATCAAATGCAAATGACTGGTTACTCAAAATGCCGATATTGGTATCGAACAATTGGTACTAAAATCCATTTTGTAGTAGTGCAACTAGTAAAAGGTTAATGAACATCTGGACGTGAATAGTTTGTTTAAGACTTGATTTGAGAGAAATTTAGTCTTGTTAAAGATACTTTTACTATTAAATTAAAAAAAAAAACAGAACAACTATTCTCAACCCGCAGTAAAATATCACCATGGTGTCCCTGAACTTTTGAATATATATATATATATTCGTGACCTAAACTAAGATTTGACAGATATCATCAAAGAAATGACATTCAAAAAATTTAAATTATAGGGGTCAAAATTTGATTGCTGAATCTCGAGGGGTAAAAATATAATTTAGCATTTCTATCAATAAATAGGAATCCTTTTAATTATGAAAAACATGATTGACCGGCTAAAAAATTTCATATTCCAATCATTATTAGATTAGACCAAAGTATCATCTTTCAATATTTGACCCAACCGATATTGTTTGAATTTCTTTTTTTTAAAAATTTTTTAAGTGCCCTTGATGATGCTGTCCTCAACCATTAAATATCTAAAACTTGATTGTGATCCACATTTGAATTATCATTTTTTTCTTAGTTTCTTTTTAAATTATTAGTTGTAATTATATGCTATCATACATGTAAGAGAAAAATAAGAAAAAGAAAGAGAAAAATGATAGAATTCATTAAGTTGCATTCACAATAAAAGTCCAGAAGCCACATTGAAAATTTTTTACAACACCAAAGTTGATATTTAGAAAATTTAAACTATAAGGCCCAAAGTAGAACATTGCTGAATCTAGTGGGGGTGAATATATTGTTTACCTTAGAAGAATAGAATTCTTCTTCAATATGGACAGCATGGCCGAACGTCTTAAGGAATATATATGCATATATATTTATGCAAAGAAACAAAGGTCTGTCTTCTACAGTAACATTCTCCTCCTTTGTTTCTAGCTAGTTTCTTTTTCACAAACCCTACCGTTTGTTTTTTATTTTCCTCTCTTTCTGAATTCAGTCATGTCGGCTCCTGTAGTACATTACGAGTTCCATGTTAAGTTAAAACCCTTTCACCAGGAACTTACGAAGTTCCCTGTTCTCTTCTTGTTTGGTGAGGTACATTATCTCGTGCACATTAATGAAGGACTGATGGAATTCAGAAGAGCAATAGAGCCGCTCATAATAAAAAAACTTGCTCAAATTCCTTTTGGCGATTCATTGCTTGATCACATTCAAGATTTCAAAGATATCTTGACCGGGGTGGACATCCCTGAAATTGAACAATCAAAGATAATAGATGAAATTGCAGCGAAGGCTCTTGACATAAATACTTACAGTGGTACCTTCATGTCCGTTGAAATAGTTGCTGTTAAAAGTGATTTAGAGAAGATATTGCAAGAGAGGAGAGGCACTTAATGAAGCTAGACCAATCTTGGCCACCCAAAGTCTTCTATTGATGCATTGGAAAGAGTTGCTTTGACTGTTGCCGCTATCAAATGCCTTGTGAATTGTGATCATTACTGTCTACTAGAGCTTTTCTTAATTTGTTTTAAAACAATTTTATTCTATATAAAACTATGATTTTAGGACTTCTTGTTTTCTTTCTTCATCAGAAGTTGAGTTTTTAAATTTCAATGGTTTGATTTATGGCAAGTTTGTTTATGTATCAGCACTAGACAACTAGAAGTAAATATAATATCTTCTTTTGTAATTTGAGGAGAATCCATAATTCTGTATAGACAATTTGTCAGACAATGATGGAATTCCAAGAACAACAGATCAGACTACCAATAGATCACCCTCTCTCTCTCTCTCTATATATATATCGTGGGCATAAACTAAGATTTGACAGATATCATCCAAGAAGGCAATGGAATCCTTGTACAATTAGGATTTGAATTTATCACTTCTCAACATATACAAATAGAATAACAATTAAAATATTTATTTTAGTCCCTGTAATTTTTAAGAACAATTTTTTATCCTTAAAATTTATTATTATTATTATTATTATTATTATTTGGCATTTTGGTAATATATTTATAAGTTTTTTTAGTCCTCAAAGTTTTCGAAAAAAATATTTTTATTTTTAATTTTTAAATTTTATGTAATCGGATTCATGCATGTTAATAAAAAATTCTAAATAAATTAATGGACATTAATAGGATAAAGAATAAGTAGTCATACCTTGAAACCATATTAACGAGTATGTATTTTTTACCTTTACCCACTTCAATACCAATTGGATATTTTTAATGGGTATATATTGGACAGAGTCAAATGAATATCCGTTTTATACATGGCCCATTGCCATCCTAGGCCCAATAAATGATTAACAGTATTAATTTGGTGTTAAAAATATATGAATTTGCTTGTATGTGACAATTTCATTTGAAGTTCCTCTAATCTAACCTACACATTAGTCGAGCCCAAAATATTCTCTTATTAATTTATTAGCACGCAATTAAACTTTATCAGTTTCCATTAAATATTTTAATCATAAAGATATCTTGCGTCTTTCAATATTTAAATTACAAGTGTCATAAATTAATTACGAGTGTTGATTTCATTAATCATCATTGAATCGAATAAGTTGATTGTTTTCACCACCATCTAAGTCAAACCAACCTTCTATGATGTTTTCTTAAGTCTCTTTTGTGATATTGTCCTTGCCCACTAAAATTTAAAATTAATAATGAGCCTACATTTAGATTTTTTAAATTTTATTTTAAAAATTTCGAGGCCTTTTTAGTGGATTCGATCATGTATACGAGAAAAATACAAAAAACACAATAAGAAAGTCTGGAGATTTGCAAGGGGCATTTAGTGACGGTTTACAAACTGTCGTTAGTTAACGAAATTTGCGATGGTATGAAGCAATTTTACGAGGGACTAAAAAAAAATAATTTTGGGGATCGTTTTTAGCGATGGTTTACGTAAACCATTGCTAAAGAAAAAATCTAAGCAACTTAGCGATGGTTTTTTATCCAAAAACCATCACAAAAGTTTCAAATTTAGCCGCGGACTTCGATCCGTCGCTAAACCGTAGCCAAAATCCACCCATTGGGGGAAAATGGCTATTTTCAGCCGTTCGCGACGTACTTCGATCCGTCACTAAAATTGAAATCCTTAAAACCCAACTGCCTTCATCTTTCCCCCAAAATTTCTCTTCTTCCTCTCTTCTTCTCCTCCACCTTCTAGTGCCGATTTGCCTAAAATTCCCATCAAATCTTCCCTCTCTCCTTCATTTTGCTTCCAATCTCCTCCTCTCTCTCCTCCTTCCCTTTCTCCCCTCCATTTCTCCCCTTTCGCCCCCATATTTCGTTCTTTTTTCTCTCTTTTTTCCCCCTTCTTGAAGCTTTGGGATTTCGACCAAACCACATTCGACGAAGCTCCTCCACCGCGCAGCCCCTATCCTCCTTGTGTGGGTGAAAGGTCCTCCCTCATCTAACCTCTCAATTAATTTTTTAATTTTTTGCATTTTTTTCATAATTAGATGTTAATTTAATTGTTAATCTTAATGATAATTGTTAGTGTTAATTGTGTTATTGGTTAATTATTTAATTGTTATTGATAATTTAGTGTTAATTGTGTTATTGGTTAATTTTTTAATTATTATTGTTAATTTAGTATTAATTGTTAATTGTGTTATTGTTATTCGTAATTGTTAATTTAGTTAATTTATTTATAATTGTTAATTTAGTTAGTTTAATTATTAAATAAATGTAATTGTTATGAATTTGTGTTAATTGTGTTAGTTTAATTGTTTAATTGTTAATTTAATTTTTTTAAAAATTTGATTGTTATTATTTTTTGTTGTTAATTTAATTGTTATTGTTATTAGTTTAGTTGTTAATTTGTAAGCTTAATTGGTAATTTTTAATTGTTAATTAAGTAAGTTTATTGTTAAATATTGTTAATTATTAATTTAGTTAGTTTAATTTATGGTTTTTTGGAATATTAATTAATTTAAAAAATTGATAACAATTTTTTGAAATTATATTTGGTAACTAAAAAATTAATTAGTAATTAAGTTTGTTTAATTAGTTGTTGATTAAGTGAAGGAGTTAAGTAATTACAAAATTAAGTAGTTATTAAAAATTTTAATTATTTGTAAATTATATTTAGTTATAAAAAAATTAATTAGTTATTAAGTTTATTTAGTTGTTGATTAGATTAAAAAAAGGAGTTAAGCGATTACAAAATTAATTAGTGATTAAAAAATTAAAATTTTATTTTAATACTAATGAATGAAATAGTATGCGAGTTAAAATGCCTCGAGGTAGGAGACGTACTCGGCTTCACCGGCCTATGTCATATGGTAAGGGTCACGGTTCGGACATCGATTTAGGTAGTAATCGTGGACGTGGATGTTATTCTCCTTCCTTTCCGGTTGGATGGACCCTCCCATGCAAATGCCTCCGGACCACCTTTACGGTTATGCCACGATATACCCATCATTCCCTTCGTGGCTCGAGCTTGAGTCGTTTCCTTTTGGACCTCAACGTCCCCGAGCATATTTCATTTCGTCGTCATTAGCACCCTCGTCATCGCAACAAGACAACCGTTTTGATCCTGAACAAATAAGGTCACGGAACATGATTCGTCCATCGACTTCGAAACCTATCGGACCCACGATCAATTTACGAGTTTCGATCATTATTGTTGGTTGCAATGAGTACGTTCTATGCACAATTCTATAAAAACATTTTTCTTCATTACCATAATTATATATTCATTTATTTATTAAGTTAATAGCTACTTTCATAGGTTGTATCCTTCGAATGTTTGTGCTCGGCATATCTTTAAGACATTCCGTGAGTATGTTCACATTTTTGGATGGATGTGGAAGAAAATGAGTCCGAAAATAAAAGACTTATACTTGGAAAGAGTTTAAGGTACTATTTTATTAAGTTAATTTATTATGTTACTTCATATTAAAAAAAATATCCAATTAAGTATACTAATGAATTTTTTTTCTTGTGAGGGCATTTACATGGAAGAATAACGAGGTCACTATTAAGACGAGCATGGGAACGTTTAGCACGAAAGCGATATTTCAATTTTCTTTTTCATCTTAGGTAAGGCCCAAAGCCAGCATTTATCTCGCAAGACATATGAAATGCATGGCTTGCAAAATGGGAAAACTCGAGGCCATTGCCCGATCCGAGATGGGGGCACAAAGCTGCATGAGCGAGACCGGTAATGCCAAAGCTCGGTCCTTCAAGGCATACGGGTGGGGGGGTCAATCAGCCATAGAGAGCACACAATACGCATGGTAAATATATTTATATATAGTAATTTTTTTAGTGATTTCAATATAATTAATTAAAATTTTGAGTATATTTCATACATTTACGTAAATTTATTTTAGCATGAGTTATTGGGTCGTGAACTCGATCCGAACAAGGTTTTTAAAAGGACCCATAAAAAAAAGTTGATGATCAATACGTATTCGTCGATCAACGATTAAGAATTATCGAAGTAAGCTTTTAGTTTATTACGTCATTCAAACATATTAATTTTTAACGTTATTTAATATAGCTGTTTAATATTTTATATTTCACAATTATGTAGGAGACCGTAGAAGGAATGATTAAGGAGAAGGTTGCTAGTCGGTAGACCGAGGGGAGTTCATTTTCGGACATCAACATTAATAAGATATTGAGGATCGTCGTTGGTGGATGAGATAGTAAGAGGAATAGGATATACGAACTCGAGTCACACACATCGCACTACTACTCCAACATCGGTACGGCCTCCGGTTTGGCAACTTCGCATTGCAATGTTGATGATGAGGCATAGCGAAAGGAGGGCAAGGATTGATATAGTCAACTAGAGTCTACTATCACATCGTTGGTGGCTACAACTAAAAGATTGGACGAGTACAATCGACAACAACAAGCGATGATGAAACATATGTAGCATATGCATTCAAGCGAGTTCATCCATCGTGCCTAACACCGGTGATGATTCCACCCAACTTTCGAGTAACGATCTTGTCTGGTCAACCCTAGCTTATTATGTTTTGTTTCTTGTTATAACAACAAACCTTTGAATGTTTATGATAATTTATTAATTTAATAACATGTTTTATTTTTTAAATAAATTTATTCAATTTATTCAATTTTATCTTTTGGGTATATTTTATTTTAAATTAAGATTTAAAAAATAGAAATAGGTAATTAGCGACGAAATTAGAGACGGAATAAACCATCTCTAATTTCGTTCATTTAGCGACGGTACGAGTTTTTCATTGCAAAACTATCATAAAATTGAGACGGATTTACGATAGTTCTAGTCCGTCGCGGAATTTAGAGACAGATTGAAGTCCGTTGCAAAACCATCACAAAAATTAGAGACGGTCTAAAACCATCGCAAAATTTAACGATTGACATTTTTTGAGGTTTTTTGGACCATCATAAAATCTTCTCCGAATAAAATTAGCGACGACTTTCATATGATTAGAGACGGACTAGACCGTCGCTAATTAAATTTTTTTGTAGTGAAAAAAGTGAAAGAAGAAAGATGGAAGCTATTAAGTTTCATTGGACATTTAACGACTAGAAGCCGGATTGAAAATTTTTGAAATAACATGGTTGATATTGGGAAAATTTAAACCATAGGAACCAAAGTAGAACATTGCCCAATCTATTAGGGGTGCAAATATCGTTTACATTCTTCTTGAAAGAATAGGAATCCTTCCTCATTATGGATGACATGACCAACTCGTCTCAAGGAGAATATATATATATATAAACACGTGATCACGTGTGCTATAGTTATTCCATTCTCATTCTTTGTTTCAAGCTAGTTTTTTCTTTTTCATAAACCCTATTACCATCTTCTTCTCGTTTTTTTTTCTTTTTTGATCTCTTTCCGAATTCAGTCATGTTTCCTCCAACGAGTTCATTACGAGTTTAATGTTAAGTTAAAATCTTTTCAAATGACAACTACAACTTTTCTAGTACTCTTCTTGCTTGGTGAGGTCAAGTACCTCGAGCAAATTATTGAAGGATCGAAGGTATTCGGAAGAGTAAGAGAGTCATTCATAGTCGGTAAAATTTTTAAAATTCCTATTAATGATTCATTGTTTGATCACATTCAAGATTCCAAAGAGATCTTGACTATGATAGACATCCCCGAAACCAAACATTCAAAGATACTAGACGAGATTGCATCCAAGGCACATGCCATGGATATATATAATGGTTCCTTCTTGTCAATTAGAATAGAGAAAGTTATATTTTGACTCGCTAAGAATGCTCGTGAATAATGAAGAAGATGTTGCAAGAGCTAAGAGGAAGCGATGTGGACAAAATGGCATTGGAATTCATGGAGTGGCATAATAATGGATGGTGACATGATTCATGATTTTTGGGCTAATTTTGGGGGTTTTGAACCTAATTTGATGCGAAACGGACCAAGAATCAAAACACATGGGCTTTGCCCATGATATAAGCATGATTTTCATAAAAAAAAGTTGTTTAGGCCTTCAAATTACCAATTTACTATTCCGTCGCTACACTAACGGATTTTTTGGATTTTTCCTCTTTAATTTTAGATTTTTAGTGTTTGTTTTCTTTTCAAATTGCTTTAGGATTTTGACCTAAAATTTACTATTTATGTAAGACTTCTAGGTGAAAAAAAGCCACTTTTTCTTTATTAATAAACTTTTATGAGAGAGTATCTCATTTTTCCAATTCCCGATAGTCTTTGAATCAATGGGTTTGAAGCCTATTTCTTGATATTTGTGTGTGTAATTCAACGAGTTGTAGTAGACTGGTATTTGGATTTCGGATCAACGGTATTTATCCTTTTTTTGTGAGTTTCCACTACGTCGGGAATTCAACAAATGATTGAAGTTAGATCGATCCCGACCACCAATTCGTTTCATGATGCATTGGAAAGATTTGATTTCTATGGTTTTAGGTCATGGATAGATTGCATCAAGAAGGTATTGCATTGATTGTTAATGAGTATTAGAGCTTTTCTTTATGTGCTTTTTTCTTAGGTTCTTGTGTAAAATAAAAAGGACTCGAGTCGTTCTTAGTGTTATGATTTCATGTTCTTTTTATGAATTCTGATCTTAATTAGTAGTAGCTTTTCTTTTTCAATTTTCCTTCTAATTATTTTTATAGGATAAAAAAAAATGAAAATATTCATCCATGTTTTAGATAGAACAATTTAATTTTAAATAAAGCTATAATTTTAGTGGTTTTTTTTTTCTTTCTTTAGTTAAGAAATGGTTGTAGAAAATTTGATGTTTGATTTATGTATTTTTAGGGAATCTGGATAGATAACTAATTTATACCAATCCTTTCATCAAATCTTTCGGATACATATATATAGCCCCTTCCTACTAGGTTAGAAAAAGATAGAGATCCTATTGGATCGAGGCATATATATAAAAATTAAGAGTGTCCACTATATAAAAATTAAGGTGAGTATAAGAAGAAAATAAATATCTACTAATATGGTTTCGAACTAGTTTGGTGTTGATATGTTGTAATGTGTGTTTAGTGCTATATTGTAGGATAAAAGTAGTTTTTTAGTAACTAGTTGTTATACTTTGTTTATAAATATTTAAGGTAGCAAAATAGTATTTGGTTAAAAATGACCAATAAAGACTATAACAAAATAAAAATATTTTAACAAATTTATTTTATTTATAGTAAATGATTTATAACTTTTTAAACATACATAACCCATATGCATATTTTTGCAAAAGTAATTCTTATGTTTGAAAAAATATATTAAAAAAAAGAGTTAAATAATATGGCAATATATATAAACATGATACTTTAATAAAATCAAATAAATAAATAATTAATTAAAATATAATTACATAAAGACTAATATTTTTAAAAATGTGTATTTAAAAAATAACAGAGAAAATAGTTATTTTAATTTAAAAAATGGATTCTATAATAAACAGAGAAAATAGTGATTTCTATAATATTTTTAAAAATGTGTATTTAAAAAAATAACAGAGAAAATAGTGATTTCTAAAATTCCTATTAGTGATTCATTGTTTGATCACATTCAAGATTCCAAAGAGATCTTGACCGAGATGGACATCCCTAAAACCAAATATTCAAAGATATTGGACGAGATTGCATCCAAGGCACATGGCATGAATACATATAGTGGTTCCTTCATGTCGATCAGAATGGAGAAAGTTATATTTCGACTTGTTCAGAATACTGTGAGTAATGAAGAAGATGTTGCAAGAGCTGATGGGAAATCAATGGATGAGTGAAGGTATGTAGACCGATCCCGGCCACCAATTCATCTACTCATGCATTGGAAAGATTTGATTTTTGTGGTTTTGGGTTATGGATAGACTGCATCAAGAAGGTATTGCATTGATTGTTGATGAGTATTAGAGCTTTTCTTTATGTGCTTTGTTCTTAGGTTCTTGTGTAGAATAAAAAAGCACTGAGTCGTTCTTAGTATTATGATTTTATGTTCTTTTGTGAATTCTGATCTTCATTAGTAGTAGCTTTTCTTTCTCAATTTCCCTTTTAGTTATCTTTATAGGATACCAAAAAAAAAAAAAAAATGGAAATATTCATCCATGTTTTAGATAGAACATGTTAATTTTCAATAAAGCTATAATTTTATTGGTATTTGTTTTCTTTTTGTCATCAAGATATGGTTGTAGAAAACTTGATGTTTAATTTATGGATTTTTAGAGAATCTGTATAGAAAACAAATTTATACCAATCCTTTCATCAAATCTTTCAGATAGGTATACCTAGTCCCTTCCTACTAGGTTAGAAAGAGATAGGGATCATATTGGACCTACGCATATAAAAATTAAGAATGTCCACTATATATAAATTAAGGTGAGTCCAAGTAGAAAATAAATAATTATCTACTAATATGTTTTCGGATCAATTTGATGTTGCTATGTTGTATTGTGTTGTCTGGTGCTATATTGTAGGATAAAAGCAGTTTTTGTAACTGGATATTATACTTTGTTTATAAATATTTAAGGTAGCAAAATAGTATTTGGTTAAATTTAATTGTTGTGCTTTTCGAGATATGAAATGACTAGTACAGACTATAACAAAATAAAAATATTTTAATAAATTTATTTTATTTATAGTAAATGATTTACAACTTTTAAACATACATGAAACGTGTGCATATTTTTGTAAAAGTAATTCTTAAGTTTGAAAAACTAAAATAAATAAATAATATGGCAATATATATAAACATGATACTTCAATAAAATCAAATATATAATTAATTAATTAATTAAAATATAATTACGTAAAGACTAATATTTTTTAAACGTGCATTTAAAAAAAATAAAGAAAATAGTGAGTTTTAATTTAAAAAATGGATTCTATAATAAACAATTGTGTTTTTGGCTGAAAGGGATTAATCAAACGCTAGTTTTATATCAAAAGCAGTACTTAAAAACAACTATACTTTAAACAATACCAAAAAGAACTTTATGTTTATGAGTATCAAAGTTATACTATTAGGATATCCGCTAAAAAAGAATAAAAAAACAAAGCAGAACAAATTTTTGGTCCGTAAGGACATGATTGTAAAGCCTTTTAAAACAAGGACTAAGATGTTTTTCCCAAGAAATATTAGGACCAAGAAAAATATATTTAAAAAAATACAAGAACTAAATATTGAAATTGATATAAAATTGTCTTGTATGGGACACGTATGCTTTAAGTACGAGTTAGATGATAATTTTTTAATCAAATATAAAATTGATATAAGAGAATAGGAATATCCTCTTATTATCATAAGACACTTCTTCCATTGTTAATTCGCCGAACAATCATCCAAGACAAATAGAGTTCTTATTCTCTTAACAATAGCTAATTATTTAAAAATTACCTTGAACTTAATCCTTAACTTAGAAAAAATTATTTGGGTTTTTAACTTTTTTTTTTTTTTTGTCTACAATTTCACCCTTCCATCCAAGATTGAGTAAATTATAAATTAGTCCTTCTTGTTTAGAAAAAAAGAATTAATTAATCTATTTTTTTTAAAAAAATAATTATATAATCCTATATTTTTTAATTCTATCAATGACTTAATTTTTTTTTGGTTATTTTTTCGTTAAATTAGTAATTTTGTTTCTAAATTGCTCTTTTTTATGCTTTTTTTTCCTTTCATCTACTTTCTTTCTCTCTCCTCATCATTTATATATAGTGACCTATCTTTTAATTATTCAATCAGTTTCTCTATCTTTAATCATTAAAGTGATATAATAGGTTTTTTGCCCACACTACAATGTGGGTTGGACAAAATATATTAAATCGTTTATAAAAATCATTTTAGTTTAATAGTTTATTTTATAATGTGAATCTATAAAAATATACGAAATACAAAGTGAAAAAAAATTATTTATAATTTTTTAATAAAAAATTTTGAATTTAACTATTTCTTATTTGTGTAATTTTTTCTTTAGAGAAAAGATTTATCCTTGTTAATCCATGGATTATTAACTAAAAACAAAATTAAATAATTTTCTTTAAAAAAGTTTTAGTATTTCATAAGATTGTGTTAAAAAATAGAAATAAAAATTATTAAAAGCTTATATAGAATTGAATAAATTATTTTTTTATTTAATGTTGATGAGAATATCAGCTTTTTGAAAAAATATGAATTTAATTTTTATATATTTATTTTCAAAAGAATGAATAATATTAAAATAAAAACTATATTAATTTAAATCATTGAGTGGTGTAGCTAAAATATGATTTTAATTATTTAATTTAAAATAAGTTAATTTTAAAATATTTTAAAATAAATAAATAGTAAATGCTTAGTGTGGTAGTAGTTGCACAATTAATCTCTAAAAAAACGACAATTCAATATTTTTTTTATACATCATAACTATACTTGAGTGAACTTAGAGTTTTTAATCTAAAACTAAAAATATTATATATATAAAAGAAGTTAACTTGTAAGGAATTTATTGACTAAATTTGAAATTAATAGACTAAAATAAAAATTATTAGAAATTTGATTTCGATTAATTTTGATTATATAAACAAGAAACAAATTAATAAAACATGTGAATTTTTTTCCTCCTTCTTAAATATTTTTTTATTTCTATGCTATGCATGGCTAGTCCTTGAATACAAGCTTTACGCACGGAGCAACCATCTTTTTTTTTAAAAAAAAACATTTGACTTTTAATTATTAATTAATTAATTTGAGTTTTTTTTTTCTAAAAAAGCCAAGAAAAAATTATTTGAAATGCACTTTTAATCTAAAAATGCATTTTAGATAAATTATATATATTAATCGTGCCACTATAATTTAAAAGTTATCTAAATCTATTTTTAAAAAATAGAGGGGCTAATTTATAATTTATTCATCCAAAATTCTATTCAACTATTATGTTTGATCACATATAGTGCAGCCAAAACATGACAAATCCTAAACCCACACTAGACATATGGCGATCTATGTGAAAATAAAAACAGAAAAAAGAAAAAAATCAAAGGCAATAAATTAACCCATACATTGAATGATTCAAATTCAAATAAAAGGAGGCCTTTTCTCAACCTTAACCTATCCATCCTAAATTAACGCCACTATCTGTTTTCATTCCTACTGGTCCCCATTTTGCTTCTCCATCGTCAGTAATCTATTAACAATAAATTGAACGATTCAGTTTATATATATATATCTCCTTCCCATAAAGGGAAAGAAAAAAGCTCACAAAATATATCTTCTTAGCAACTGAATTTGAGAAATAAAAAACATCCGATTGCATATGCCTATCTCAGCTACAAAATAGATTCATTTTCTCCCTCTAAGTATTTTTATTGAGTAATATTCAATTTGTTCCTCTGAGATTTATGTCTGATCTCAATTTTACTTAAAACCTTTGATTTGTTTTAGATTTGGATCACTTATTTTTGTTTCAATTAGCTAGCCCCTCATTGTTCTTTTATTCTAGCTAATTGTCCCCTCCATCCTTTTTTGTCATGTGCATAAATTTCAGTTTCATCCTTGAAGTTTATAAAGTATGTCAATTTCATCCAAAAAGTAAATATATATATATATATATATGATAAAATTTGAGAGGATTAGTTTCTCAAGAAATCCTTTAATCCTACCAACTTCAATTCTCATTTAAGGAGCATTTATTTTACATAAAATATTTTATGAATGGAAAATATTTTACATGTAAAATGTATTTTGTTTTATGGTGTTTCCTAAGTAATAATTTAAAATATATGATGGTAGTAGAATAATGATGATGTGCTACGGTGGTAGTAGTGGTGGCAACAATGGTTGTAGGGTGGCAACTATAGTGATAGCGATAACAAGGTGTACGTGATGGTAAAGGCAAAGGTGATGGCGACGAGGTTACGGTTGTGATAATAGTAATTGAAATAATTAGATGATATTGTAAGTGAATTATTATTCATAAAATAATTTATAGAACTAGGTAAGCTAGAAATATTTTCCACTAAATTAACTAAGTTTAAAACTTGAACTTAAAATATTTTATATTGACCGAGTTTTCATGTAAAATATTTTATGATAAAAAAAAATCAAGAAAGATTTTCTTGTAAAATATTTTATGTAGAAGAAACACTTCCTTAGCGACATCATCCTTTTCTTTTATCAATAATTTAGTTAAATAAAAATTAAGATTCAGATTAATTTAACTTTTTTAAAAAAATGTTTTCATCAAAATTTTCACCATTTGAGAACCTCTCAACTATCATGTCTCCTTCTTTCTTTTATGTTATTATCAAATAACACATTTGATATGTGTAAATAATCATGCTCTTGATGATGTCAAAATTGTCCTATACTTAAGCTATCATTCTATTTATGAGAGAACTTTTTTTAAAAAAAATTCTTTTTCAATACTTTAATGAAAAATTGGATGAAAAGTATAGATATAATATGCTAGTGAGAGAGCGCATGAGAGACACTAGCAATGCTAGTTTATATTTTTTATTCATATATATATAATTTTTATGTTTAGTGTAATTTTATTCTTGTATTTTCAAATGTCTACTAGATAGTGTTGATGAAAAATCATTATACTAAATTTTAGTTAAAAAAAAAAAATTCTTGAATGATTTTTTTCAATTTTAATTTTTTTATTCTTATATTTTGGATTATATTGAGATATTTCATAAACTTTGATGATGAAATTAAATTTACACGAAGTGGAATAAAAATAACATATACATGATCTAATTGAAACAAATGAAAAATTTAGATAAAATTGAGAAAACACATAAAACTTGGGAGTAAATTGAAATTTATCCATTTTTACTCGTGGTTACTCCTCAAATTCCATAAAATCAATTTCTTCTTACTAGCATGATTGTAGCCAAAGTTTTCGGCAACAACACCACTACATTTAGCACCAACCTTGAAATTCAAAGCCAACAAATTCGTGGCTCAACTATATCAGTGTCTTCTTCTCTTAAGAATTTAATCTCTATTTTGTAACTACAAATACCATAAAATTCAGAAAGAACAACGAATCACCATGTCAAAATCAAACATGGTAGACCTTTCAAAAGCGAAGCCTCCCCTTCCATCTTTCTTATTTTCTTTCCCTAGTGTATTTGGGAATTGTAGAAACCGAGGGAGACGGGAAGGCATTGGAATTCCAGTATCTCCTTCACGTTACTTAAGGAACAGGATTACAGTAAACAAACAGCGAAGTTGCTTGTGTTCCTGTTATGGATTCACTGTTGAATCACATTCAAAATTTCCAAGAACCCTTGATCAACATGGACATCTTTGAAAAAATCAGGCAATTAGATTTATTATGCGAGATTGCATCTAAGGCTGCTGGGATGGATAAACATGCATTCATCGCAATCGCAATAGTGAAAGGGATCTGTCGAGAAGCTAGAGATCGCAACAGAGAAGATGGGATTGCGAGAGCTGAGAGAGAGTCAATGGAGGTTAAGGCAAAGCAAATCCCGGCGACCAAGTCATCTATTGATGCTTTGGGACGAGAAGTTTTCAACGATTCGGGTTCAGCAACAGACTGCATTGTTTGTATGGAAGAGATTGAAGCAGGGGATGTAGCAATTCGGATGCCGTGCTCGCATGTTTATCACTCAGACTGCATTGTTAAGTGGTTGCAGATTTGCCACATGTGTCCACTTTGCCGCTATCATATGCCCTGTGAGTTCGGATGAGTACTATAGCTTTTCTTTATCTGCTGAGTTCTTAGGTTATTTGGTCGAATAAAAAGGACTGAACTGTGATTAGTTCTGTGATTTTATGGCTTGTTTCCTTTCATTCATCAATCATTGTAAAACTTTCAGGGTTTGGTTTATGCCAATTTTTTTTTCTTTTTCTATGTATGATCACTAGGCAACTATATGTATATTTATTAATTATCTTCTCAAGTAATTTCAGGCGAACCTATAAATCTATAAAGAAAAACTGTCAGATCATGATGAAATTACAATAACACAGCAAATCAGACTAATAAGAAATCACTATATATATATTTCGTGGGCCAAAAGGACATGGAGTTCCATAATCCTGATAGATTCAAATATATATATATATATATATATATCATAGATCAACCACTTAATTGAAGTGTTAAGCTCACCCATTAACAATTTCATAGGCGCTGACCGACAAAGAAAGCGTCGCTGTTTGGTTCAATGGAAAAGAATTCGCTCATCAAGTTGAATGATTGCGTAATACCAAAGCAGGTATCTCATTTATTTCTTAATTAGGATGGATGGATTAGTGGGACTAAGTTCCAATTTGAGGTATTTTATTTTTCTCTTTTAGATTGAGAGAAATTCAGATCACCCAAACACTAAGCTTTCCGTCAAATGAATTATAGATATAACCTCAAGGGGTTGATTTGGTGATTAAAGAAATCTGTTTTCTTCATGGACGATCAAAATTCAAACTTCGGTGCCGGCACTTAAAAAGAATTATTAAATTTCTATAAATGTATCAAGACGATATAAAAGGCATCATTTTAAAATCGTTCCCAAAGAGACTTAATCTTAATTAATGTATAAACTAGTTCGATCTGACCAACATTTAAGAAGAACAGGGAGAGAGGATTTTTGCAATGTTGTGAGAAGAGGGAATTAAGGTGTGGCCTGGATATAGTGCCTTCCCCAATAAATCTCACCATATGTGCTATAAAATTTAGGCACAATTGCTGATCTAAGATCATATAGAGAAGGACTTAATCTTAGTAAATGTGTAAATTGGTTTGACCTGACCAGCATCTTACAAGAATTGGGAGACGGGAAATTTTGCAATTTTGTGAGGTGTGGGATTTGAAGTGTGGTCTAGATACCGTGTCTTCCATAAAAATCTCACCATATGATTTTAGTTTATTACTTTTCGCATTTAGGCAAGGTCTCTCATCTTAGTTCGTCGTTTTAGATAGGATTGTCTAGTGATCATTCTCATATTTTTAGGTAGGATCGCCTAACTTATTTTGTCATTTTAGGCAAAGTTGTCTAATGATCATTCTCATTCCAGGTGGAGACGCCTAACTTATTTTGTCATTTTAGGCGAGTTATCTAGCGATCATCTCTCATTTCCAAATGAGGTTGTCTAATTTAATTCATCGTTCTAGGAAGGGTTGCATAGCTATCATCACATTTTACTTTTCGGATAAGCCACCCAAATAACAAGACCATCATATTTAACTTTATTAGATAGGTCGTTTAGATAAAAAGATCATCGCATTTTCGTTTTTAAGACTAGTCATCTTTTACAATGAGGCTATCGCATTTTATTTTTTAGGGATAATCACCTAGGACAATTAAACCATTTTTTACCACTCAATTTATTTTTTCTTTATAAGTTCATTAAACAAACTCAATATGAAATTCTTACTTCAAATAGCATCAACACTATATGCATTGTAAAAAAAGAAAAAGAAAAAAGCAATTGTCATATCCCAAATTTTGGGCTATAGTTTTTCCTTTTTCCTTTTAGGTTTTATTTATCATATTTTTATTTTTATTTTTCCTTATTTTTATATTTATTTAATTTCTATATTTATTATAAAAAAAGAAGAAAAGGAATAAAAAATATAAAAAATAAAAATAAAAATTACTACATGATTGATTAGGGTCATGATTGAATAAAAACAAAACTCAATATGTAGCAATTAAAGATTCGATGGAAAGAATTAAAAAACCTAGAACTAAAATTACAAGATACACGAACCCAATTGAAAATATTGAAAGAGCATGAGCCAAAATTACATGCCTAAAGGATCTAATTAGGGAAAAATCAAATCGATTAGGGACCATAATGGAAAGAAGAATCGGACAACAAGACCAATCTGGAGAATGCTCGAATATCGTCTAATTCATTCTAATTTCATTCTTCCCTCCTCCCACCATTACCGTCCCTCATCTTTTACAAAAGAAGACAGATTCGATCAATTCCAAAATTCCTAGCTAGCATTTGTACTAGTCGATAATCGTGCCGCACCACACCGGTACATACCACCCGCACCATCCGCACCAACCCGCACGCACACACAACAATTGCATTGTTTTGGTGGTTTTGGCTTCATTCATAAGGAGCCAAGTCCAAGTAGGAGCTCCGTTTGGAATGTAATGGGAGGGTAGGATTTAATTCGATTCGATCCAAGGGTAGAAGGAAGAGTTTTTGGTATAAATAGAAGGTTAATTGGAGGATTAAAGGGAGGATTTTTCACGTTTTTTATTGGGAAAGAAAATTCTAGTGGTTTCTACTGGGGTTTGAAGAAAGAGGATTTGGGATTTATTTTGTTCCGGGTTCACAAAACAAATACTCGGGTTGAAGAAGGGCTTTTGTTTTCGGTTTATAGAAGAAATTTTAGGTTTAAGAAAAGAAAATTATGAGTTTCGGAAGAGTGTTTCTAGGTTTGGACGATGGGAAATTTTCTAGGTACATGAAAGAGAGGAAAAAGGAGACAACTTTCCCTCACTACCATCTATTCATCTCAGCTCAACCTTATCACTCAAGCCGGGGCCGGCTTTATAATATATGTGGTCCTAAGCAAAATAATATTTTTCTTCACAATTTTTAACTATATGTTCATTTAAATTTTTATCTTGTTCTTCTAGCATTTGGAATTTAATATTAGTAACAAATCTATCAAGTGTACCTTTTTGGTATTCAGTTGGTTCTTTTATCTTTTTTTTTTTTATGTTTTTTATATCCAGATTCATACTTTCTAGTAGACATTTTATTCAAATAATAAAATTAAAATATAGTTATAAAAAGAGTAAGCAACTTTAGCACTCGATTATATTTGCTTGTCATACCTAATTAAGCAAACCTGGAGAGAATCACCCGAGAAAATAAAAAGAAATTTAAGAAAAAAATAAAATATTATATGATTTATATACATAATTTTATTTGCATAAATTAAAAAATTACCTTTAGATTCTTCTCGCGAAGCTAATTAAAAAGGTTTTATAAGAGATCCCCGATTGTTTGGAGAAAGAAAGGAATATAATAACCAAATTTGGAGATCTAAAAATTATTTCACTCACAAATATTTTTCCGAAACTTTTCCGTAAGTAAAAGTGTCTCACTAAAATAAAAATTGAAAGCTTTTATAAATAGAAGGTAACTCGGAAAGACATCTAAAAAAGGTAGAATTTTTAACATTGAAATAATAATATCTCCGAACAATGAGAGCCTTTCAATGCGGGAACTTTAGTACCTATGACTCGTTAATAGAGAAAAAAATGATGTCTCATACTTAGGTGGAGGCTACACCTTTTAATTTATCTCATTCTTTATCGGTGTAAGTTTAGGGTAAAATTTTAATTGGAGCCCCCCTTTCTATGGGGGCCACTAGGCATAGGCCTTAATGGCTTATGCCTTGAGTCGGCACTCGAATCAAGCACACCGGCTTGCCTAGGCTTTCACCACGGAACTACTAGGTCTACCAAGATCAACTACGCACTCTTGAAGAATCAATCCCCACCGGTCGAGGATAGGGCAATCGCTCACTCGAACATCCTTCATCCCAAGCTAAATATCCGGGTAAAATGCTTGGTCCCTATATGATTTGAAGCCCCAAAGAACCTAGATCCCACTACCAATCCACTTAAGATTAAACGATAGCAATGACCCAACTAACCCATTTCTTTTCTTTGTCTTTCCGAGCACGAACCATGAATGGAAGGTGAACAGAAAAGGGTTTGATTAGCTTGATGTAATTTAGGAAGGGAGGGTCCGGGGATTTGTTTGGTCCGGGAACGGAAGAACAATAGGAAGAGCTAGAGGGAATGAAAAGAAAGGAAAATTTAATTTTTAGGAGATCAAATAGGTTTAGAAGGAAAGGAGAGGGAAAAAAAGGCTTGAGGATTTAATGCGAGAAAAGGAGATCGGTGATTTTCTTTACGGGTGATGGTTTAGGATTGGAAGAACAAGCAGAGAGGGAGAGTTGTTTTCCCTAAACAGGGTATTTTTTAACCTTTTTTTTTTAAATAAGATACTTTAAATCTTATTTATATATATAAAAAAAAGGTTGTTTAGCCACATAGACATCCATGTCATCTTTTTAATTAAGTGCTATAATATGTATTTTATATAATAATTTAAAAAATTAAAAAAAATAAAAGAAAAAAATTAACTTACGCTTTCTTTGTCTTTTTTTTTTTTTGCCTTAATTTCTTAAATTTCAAACACTCTCACAATTCAGAATCACAATTATTAGAAAAGTTTTTTTATAGCATATGAATGTTGTCAATTAAAGTATTTTTCTAAATTCTTTTGTTTTTATTTGTTTAATTTTGATATTTTAAGGGTATTTCAAAATAATCATGAATTTTATATATGATTTTCTCAACTAATATGTACTTAACACCAAAACTATCAAAAGAAACAAGAACTATCCCTTTTATGTAATTCAAGTTTACCGTCCCGAACGAGTGAAGAAAAGGAAAAATTCATAAATAAATGATAATTTTTACTTGTTCCTAACGAGTGTTGTAAACTTTATTATTTTTTACAATCATTATAGTTTAATAAAATTATTTTTTAATCATTATTTTTATTTTTATAAAAAATGAGATATTAAAAAATTTAAATTGGATTTCGATTTCTCATTAGTATTCCAAACATACTATGAAAATACAAATACCATTTCGATTTCTTAATTTTCATTTCGATTTCCGCATTTTCATTCCTATCACTCTATTCATGATTATCAAATAGCATCAAAGGGTAATTGTCATAACCTAAATTTT